TTTAAGAAGGGGAGGATGTAACGACCCGACCGGTCATTTTAAGAATTAACACCCCGATCCTCTATTAACTTCTTTCCCTGTGCTTATTTTTGCTATTTTGAGTTGTTGGGAGGTTTCGTTTGAAGTTTCGGAGAGTTTTGGGACACATAGTCCCTAAATGAGAGTTTAAGCTTTAGAATTTGGACTGTAGTCAGAGTAGTGTGAAGACAATCTTGTAATAGAATTTTGCGGGTTCCGTTAGCTCCGTTGGGTGATTTCGGGCTTAGGGGCATGTTCGGATTGTGTTTTGGAGGTCTGTTGCTTAATTAGGCTTGAAATGCCGAAAGTTGAATTTTTGAAGTTTTCGGATCGATAGTGAGATTTTGATATTAGGGACGGAATGGAATTCCTGAAGTTGGAGTAGGTCTGTTGTGTCATTTGGGACGTGTGTGCAAAATCTCAGGTAATTCGGACTAGGTTTGATAGGCTTTTTGATCGAAAGCGGAAATTTGAAATTTTGGAAATCCTTAGGCTTGGATTGGAGAATGATTTGTGGTTTTAGCGTTGTTTGATGTGATTCAAGGGTCGGAATAAGTTCGTATGATATTTTAGGACTAGTTGGCATGTTTGGTTGAGGTCCCGGGGGCCTCGGGTGAGTTTCGGGTGCTTAACGGAAGTTGAATTGGACTTAGGAGAAATCTAAAGTTGGTTGAACCTGTCATAACCACACCTGCGTGTATGCGACCACTGGTACGGCACCGCAGAAGCAATTGGAGGACCGCAAGTGTGGTCTGAGGCGATTTGGGGTTGGTCGCAGATGCGGACCATTTACCGCAGAAGCGGCACTGCATCTGCGGACAAGAGGTCGCAGGTGCGGAAGATGGACTTTAATGAAAAGTCGCAGGTGCGGTCCGTTTGTCGCAGAAGTGGGACTGCAGGTGTGGACCCATGGCCGCAGAAGCGGATTCGCTGGTCAGAAAAAGGGCAGAATCGAGGGTTAGAACTCAAACCTTGGAAATTGACTTGGGAGCTTGGGGATTGGCTATATTTGGAGAGATTTTCACCTAGGTGTTTTGGGTAAGTAATTCTTACTCGATTTTGATTAATTTTCACGAATCTATGCTTAATTCCATCCTTTAAATTTGAATTTGGGGTGGGAAATTTGGAGAAAATTGGAAAAGTCCTTAGGCCTAATTTTGGGGTTTTCATCAAGATTTTGATGTCGGATTGGAATAATATTGGTATGTATGAACTCATGAGAGTGTGAGGATTCTGAATTTGTAAATTTTACCCGAATCCGAGACGTGGGCTTGGGGGGGCTTTTTGGGCGATTTTCCTAATTTCGCGTATTAGCTTCGAATTAATTAGTTGAATTAGTTACTTGAAGTTATATTTATATTATGCAATTACTTTGAATAGATTTGGGCCATTTGGAGTCAAGTACTCGTGGCAAGAACGTGGTATCGAGTTGATTGAGTTGGTTCGAGGTAAGTGGCTTGCGTAACCTTGTGTGGGGGAACTCCCCTTAGGATTTGGTACTGTGATATATGAAATGCCTTGTACGTGAGGTGACAAGTGCGTACATGTGCTAATTGTTGAAAATCCGATTTTCATTAAGTAACTATAATTTCGTATTTCTTCCCTGTTTACACTACTTAAAATTTAAGCCTACTGTTTAGGGGTGAGCATATATCGAGTAAAACCAATAAACCGAACCGTTAATTACTTATTGGGTTATCGGTATTGGGTTATTGGGTTAACGGTTCGGTACGAGTAAAAAAATTTTTTTATGGGTTATCGGTTCGGGCTCGGTTTAGCAATTCTGTTATTGGGTAAACCGATAACCCAATAAGGGTTAACTAATTTACTAGTTTACCCTTAAGTATATACATACTAGGGTTTCATATACATGATTTCAAAAGAATATTACTATAACCTATAAAAGCTATCTTCCTCAGAAAAAAGGAAGAGCGTTAGCAGGAACATGTTTCAATGGTTTAACAAGTTCAACTGCCAAATGTGTAATTTATCAGGGGGTCTCCTTCACCTTAGAGATGGAGCTAATACTCAATATGTTACTGCCACAGCTTTTCTGTTTAGTGTTTATAGTGATTATCTAGCCAACCATAAGCAAAAGGTCAGCTGTGGTAACAAACAGTTCAATTCAGCTGATCTCATGGCCTTTGCCAAGCAACCGGTATGATATATGAGACTTTTCTAAGTGCTTTTCTTTCGCAATTTTAATCTTAGCAATAAGCCAGCCCTGGATAAAGATTTCTAACGCGTCATACTCATTGAGAGGTATTTCTATCGAAAATTGGTCAAGCATTCTGTGGGTGTAGATGACAATACTCTTAATTTAAGTTTTACCATTATCGGGTAAACCGATAATGATCAATAACCGATTAACCAATAATCGATAACCAATATCTTATCGGTTTGGTTATCGGTTTATCATATTTTAAACCGATAACCGATAGGCAAAATCGATAATATTCATAACCGAACCAAATCGACCGATGCCCACTCCTACTACTGTTAGCTAAGAAAGCATGTCTAAGTGACTCAATTTGTTTTACTTGCTCAAACTGTTTTATCTGAATTTTGTGCAGCATGCTAGGTTAAGAATTACCTGTTTACTTTTGGTATGAAATTGGATTGAAATGGATTTTCTTCGTGTTGTTGCTGTGTGTTTACTTTGGACTACAGGCGATTTCCGGTTAGATTCCCCCTTGTCTGTTTATTTGGGACTATAGGTTGATATTCGGTAGACCCCCCCCCCCCTTGCATACTTATATTAAACTACAGGATTAACACCTTTAGATTCCCCAGTACTGGGTATTTACATTTGGGGACTACGGATCGGGATTCCGGTAGATCCCCGCGCACTATTGAGTTGGACTACAGAACGAACATCCGGGAGATCCACTGGATATTTACATCTGGGGTACAGGACGGTATCCTGGTAGTTGTTGCTTTAATACTGCTTCATTTCCTTATATAATAATGTATATGACTGGTAGAGCCTGACCTTCCTCGTCACTACTCAACCGGAGTGGCTTGGCGCTTACTGGGTTACTGCCGTAGTGTACTCATGCCCTTTATGACATGTTTTTTCGTGTGCAGATCCAGGTTCCTCGACTCAAGCACTACTATCCTTGAGGCGAGGAGCGATTCTTCAGAAACTTCGAGGTATATCTGCCGCCTCTCGCAGACGAGGAGATTTTTCCATTCTTCTTGTAGTCATAGTCCTTCTGTATTTTTTGGTTTAGAACAGGATTTCCGTAGAACACTATGTCGTATTCATAGATTGTGATTCATGAGATTTCGAATTTGGGAGTTGTTTAATTTTAAATCTGTATTGGTTATTACCGAGCGGCATCTTAAACACTGCTATATTTTGCTTATTTTCGATTTTTATTAGTTTTCGCATCTTGTTTTCTTTTTCGCAATTGTTAGGCTTACCTAGTCGTGTAGGGAGACTACCGTCACGACAGTTCACGGAGGGCGAACTTGGGTCGTGACATTAATCTCAATTGTTTTATATTTTTACTATTAGTTGTACCTGTTTACAGTAACGTACAGAGAATCTGATTTTTTTTTAATTACAGTGATTGGTAGTGCTTTTGTTGCTTGGGCTTTGCTGAGTAATTTCATCCTTGGTAAGGAAATTTGAAAAGATAATATTTGACATTGAGACACTTCGCCACCATGTGGGGATCTCTGTTGTGGGATTATGGAAGGAAAAACACGGTCCGGTGCAATTAGTGGTGGTGTAATCACAAGGGGAGACTTTTCAGGAAGAGGAAGAGGGGACGACCGAGAAAGTAGTTCTATTTTTTCCATTTAATGTGTTTTGCTATGTATCAGAGGTTGTTCCTCAGTTTTGTCTAAGTGCTATTCTGCTATTTGTGAGATTACTAAATATTTATGATATTTTTATTTTTGTGTTAATTTGTCGTAGTCATTACACATTGTGGCTGTGAATGAATTACATTTTAATGAATATTTCAGTTGCTTTTGCCCTTTAACAAAGTATGTATTTTTCATTATGGTTGCAGTTTTAATTAATGTTGCAGGTTATATCATATGTATTACAATATAATACATATTATACAATTTTATACAAACTTATACTCTCATTTATACATCTGTATACATATAATACCATTGTTGTTGCAGTTCTTGTTTTGCTTTTTAACAATCTATCAATATATTTAGCACCATTAAAGCAACAACACATATATTATTGGATAAACCAAAACATGTACAACGAAAACATATTTACATAATTGCAATATATAGTGTAAATTATAATTCTTTATTGACATTTGTAGCTCAATTGATTGGAAACTTAACTACTCGACATTTGTAACTCTATTGTTTGTGAAACTTAACTACTCAACATAACAACATATGTAATAGGAAGTGTTATGTTCCAACTATTTATTTTTTGGTCGATTCCTACATATTTTTCTATTATGACTACTTTGTCCACACACAGAACGTGAAAACGCCCTCTTAGACTCTTTCTCTGAAGCAGGTTTTGAGTCTTTCCTTTCTTGGCCTTCCTCGCATTCCTTCTCCCTTTAGGTGGTAGGACCTATTTCCAGCACCTCTGTTGAAATTACCATAAACTCTCATCTGGCATCGAATTCATTGAAATTATAAGCTCTAAGGAGGTTATCCTTCTTTAGTAAAAAAGACAATAGCGGCCAAGGTTCAGCTGCTGTTCTTCAAAACTGCCCAAGGCATGGGCGGCATAGAAGTTCATCCATTTGAAATTTTCCGCAACTGCATGTTCCTCTTAAGGAAAAAACTATGTTTCGTCTTACCCACAAAGCACAGTATATAACTGCTCCAATAGCAGGCCTCACGTGCAAAAGTTTTTTTTAAAAAAAAAAGTTAAAGCAACTTATACATTATTATACAGAGTTACACATCCTTATCAAACAGTAAAATTCAAGTGCGGTGCCAAGCATTATTATATTTGATTCGTTTACCGTATTTGCTCCGATGCATTAGTATTTCCCAAATGAGTTTGTCGTAGTTATAAGCTCTGTAGATGTCTCCATTGCACTTTTTCTGTTTTTGTTGTTCCACTGTTGTAGCAAATTTGTCATGTACTCCAGCAATCGCATTACTGGTAACTCTCTAGCATCCTTGTTTGCTGCATTAATTGACTCTGCAATATTGGAAGTCATTACCATCGACCTTTTCACTTTGGAGTATGCCCTAGACCACCTTTCGTAGCCAATTTCGAACAAGTAAGGCTGCACCCTCGGATAAATTTTGCACATCTCTGTCATATGGTAGTCAAACTTCTCTATCGTGTAAGCTCTAGCCAAAGCAAAGAACATATCCTTCAATTGCTTGTGATGTTTCTTGAATGTGCGCTTGACATTCTGCCACAAGTGAAACATGCAAATACAATGTGGTACTTCTGGGTACACAGCTTTTGTGGCATTGAAGATGCTTTCGTTTCTATCTGAAACTATACACATCCCTTCCCTAACACCAAAAGTACCCTTTATCTGGACGAAGAACCACTCCCAAGATTTGTTATTCTCTGAATCTACAATTGCATATGCAAGTGGAAGAATTTTTCCTGTTTATACAAAATAGATATTAGGATTCAGACAATTGTACAAATCTTATACACAGTTATACACGATTATACAACTTTATACAAACTGCAAATTTTATAAAAACAGTAGCTGTAAAATTCTATACACTTTTATACATGAAACTACAACATTATAAAAACTGCAGAAACAAGGTAGATGCAGTCAACTCACCAGCTCCATCCTGTGTGCAAGCAGTCAATATGGTACCCTTATATGCTGCTTTAAGGAAACTTCCGTCAACAACCATTATCGGTCTGCAATGCTCCCAACCCTTGATAAATGAATATAGCGAAACATATGCATAAAGAAATCATCCATCTTCTGATTTGTGCAACTTTGTAACCGTTCCTGGATTTGTATGCTCCAACATATACTAATACCTCGGCAACTCCTTATATGAATTGCTTGGATTCCCTCTTATCATTGCCACTGCTATCTCTTTAGCTCTCCATGCTTTCATGTAGCTCACTTCAATCCCGTGTTGCTTTTGTATGTCCTCTATTATATTATTTGCGGTGTAAACTTTTTTTGGATAACATTCTAGTCCTTGACTATACTAGCAATTACAACCGAAGTAGCTTGACGTTGTGTTAAATATCTTTCATCATAGCCGCATGTGTGATTATTATTGTAACTTCACACCTTGAATATGTTTGCCTTATAAACGGCAGAAGATTTGAAACCCTAAGCACAATTGTCATCCACACACATAAGGTGATACCTAGGATTAAAGATCATTCAACTTCTAAATACACTTGTATACAAAAACATAACTAGATATATACTAATTTTAATACCTACGTATAAATATATACTACTTTATACATATTTATACATATATATAACAGAATATACAACTATTGCCATACCTTATTGCGCTTGATCTCTTTACCTTGAATTGGAACCTCTCGCGTACAACCAAGTTCTTCATCACACTGACAACTGTCTCTTTATCCTTATAAACTTGATCTTCCTCAACAAATTCGTTCAACATATCATCTATTATACATGTATTCTCACTAAATTTCGTGTTTTCAAAAAATTCGATATTAGGCATAATCTCAGTGCTGTTAATTGTGGATATATTTATACAATGGGAACTTGTAGCAACCAAACAACTGGAACTTTATTAGGCTTTTAAATTAATTTTTAAATATATTTAAAAAATTTAAATTAAAACTATTGGATTACTGTAATATTCATGGCTGGTGTTAGATGTCCTAATCAACTTCTAGAATATGCCAAACTCTCTTTCTCTATTTTCTGTTGCCTTGTTGAAAGGGCATTACAAATATGATGTAGACTTTTCTTAGTCGCCAATCAATCAAGGACACGGACACATTAAAGGTAGTATTTATTTCTCTTCTTAATAAGCAAGAAGAAGTATTCAACATGACCTGTTGAAATCATGGAAGATTCCTAATGTCATATGCCTAATTGCCCCATACACGCTGGTCTTCTGCAAAGTGGGCTCTTTCCTAAATATCCTACTATTATTAAGTTCCTTTATTTTTGTTGACTACATATTTTACATCTTCTTTACATTTTCTACTTCTGTTTACAGTCTTTTCTAAAATGACCTGATGACTGTTGTTAATAGAGTATCTTTTTATCTAGCATTTGTGTACTTTTGCGTACAACACGACGCACTATTCCATTCCATTTAGTTTCTTTTAGTTTTATATGACTGTTTAATTAGATACAACAGTTCAAATCGTTTTACAAACTTAAATATAACCACTCTTTGGCTAATCTAGCGTTATTCAACTCTCGTGACAAGGATTATGCAAAAAAATATTCAACTTTGTTTTACCAACGTAACTATGCCTTTTGCCCTAATTTAGGCAGAAAAACAAAAAAAAAATGCAATAATGCCTAAAGTAGAGAGATAAATACTTACCCACATCGAATGTTTGCACCAATTTTTATTAATTTATTATAATTAAATGATTTACTGAAACGTGAATACATATTACTTCATCTATTTCAATTTAGATGACACACTTTCCTTTTTAGTCTATGCCAAATATTATACAATTAGAAATAATTTAACTTTAAACTCTTCATTTTATCTATTTTATCTTTAATTAGAAATTTTTATAACCACACAAATATCATAATCCCACAAAATTTTTGCCCCTTAAACTTTTAAGACCACAAATTTTAAAAGTCATACGTATTTTTTTTCTTAAACTCCGTTTCAAGTCAAACTATCTATCTAAGAAATGGGGGAGTAATTAATTACGGTTAAGAAGTTGTTTGTACGAGTTTTTTTAAACTATGGTTCTAACATATGAATGAACCTAAACCATGGTTACGTCTGATCAACTTCCTTGAAGAAGCCGCCAGCCAAGTAACTCAACTTACTCGCAAACACGTTGACCTGTCTCCCTATTTATCTTGACACACGACTCTTCTGAATTTTTCTCCCAATAAAAAACCCATTCTTAATTTCCTTCATTTCTTCTCCATCAAATTCTCCAGTTCAATTTCTCACTACTAAAAAAAACACCTTAAATTCGCAAACCATGGAACATCGCACGTTAGAAATAAACGTTATGTCCGGTAAAGATCTCAACAAGGTCAATCTCATCACAAAAATGGACGTATACGTCGTCGTTTCAATCTCCGGCGCCGACGACAGATCTGACCAGAAAACTAAAACCCACGTCGATCACGACGGCGACAACAACCCCACGTGGAATTTCCCGATCAAATTCAATATAGACGATAACGCTGCTGTTCACAACCGTTTGAATCTTGTTTTCAAGCTTAGGTGTCAACGTGCCCTTGGCGATAAAGATATTGGAGAAGTTACTGTTCCTATCAAAGAGCTTCTGGATTCTCCCAACAGTACTGGAAGCAAACAATTTGTAAGTTATCAAATTAGAAAACCTTCTGGTAAACCAAAAGGCCAGCTCACTTTTTCTTACCAATTTAGTGATAAGATTATTAGCAGTGTCGATGCTAAAGTTGACCAGCCGGTTACTGCTTATCCGGCGGTGAATCCAGCTCCCATGGTGGGTTCCACTTCCGTGTACCCACCACCACCTCAGCAAGGTCCAAGTGGGCCATACCCACCACCTCCTGCCGCCTATGGTTACGGCGGAAGTGGGCCTACTCCACCACCTCCTATGGCATATCCTCCGCAGGCGGCGGCTGGAGGAGGATATGGATATGGATATGGATATCCACCGCAGGCGGCAGGGCCATATGGTGGATATCCTCCTCCGCCGCCACAACCCCAATATGGGTATCCGCCACAACAAGGCGGATATGGATATGGGTATCCACCGGTGCAACAAGCGCGGCCGCCGAAGAAGAACAATGGTTTCGGGTTAGGATTAGGGGCGGGTTTGCTTGGTGGAGCACTTGGTGGAATGCTAATTGGAGATGCAATCTCAGATGCTGGAGGTTATGATGGTGGATATGATGCTGGATTTGGTGATGTTGGTGGATTTGATTTCTAATTTATTTTAGTTTTTTATTTTTTATTTTTTAGTAGGAATTAACTTGGAGAATTGTAATTTTGTGAGGTTTGATGATATAAATTCAAGTGACGTTTTAATGTAATAATTAAATGAATATTGTGCATTTTTTTTTGTGGGGAGGGAGCCGCATTTATCTCGTATTACAGTTACAATTTGTTTCTTACCAAGATCTTCTAGTATATTTACCAATTTCTTGTGTTATATTTTATATATAACTGAAAGTAACATTTGAAGTGAAGTATTATATATTTTGGTTTTCTAGATTTGTGGATGGGAGAGTGAGTTATTTGGTTTTCTAGATTTTTGGATGGGAGAGTTATAAATTCTTATATAGGATAACAAAAATTGTGGAGCTTAAAGCCCGTTTGGATAAGCTGATTTGAATTATCTCCTATTGCAGTTACAATTTGTTTCTTACCAAGATCTTCTAGCCAATTTCTTGTGCTATATTTTATATATAACTAAAAATAACATTTGAAGTGAAGTATAATACATTTTGGTTTTCTAGATTTGTGGATGGGAGAGTGAGTTATTTGGTTTTCTAGATTTTTGGATGGGAGAGTTATAAATTGTTGTATAGGATAACAAAATTTGTGGAGCTTAGAGCCCGTTTGGATAAACTGATTTGAATTAGCTGATAACCATTAGTTGTTGAAAAATACTTTTTAAGTGCTGAAACCGATTTAATAAATAAACAGTTACGTGCTTGGATACAAGTGTTGAAATTGATAATAAGATGGTGCTGTATATGATAAAAAAAACTGCCGATAAGCTCTTTTTTTTTATTAAAATGACTTAAATATTAGAACTGTTTACACTTATAAGGGCGTAATTTCTTCAAAATTTTAGATTCCAGATCGATTCAAATAAAAAATATTCTATTTTTCATTTTATTTTAAATACAATTATGCTTAGATAAGATAACTTTTATGATAAACATATAATCATAAGTTATAATAATTAATAAATTGACAAAAGTTTCTCAGTAAAAAATAAACCTAAATAAGACAAAATATTTGAAGAGAAATTTGATATGTCCTCATTCATTACATACAGTTCAAAGATTGATGAACAATCACATAGATACAAATATGCAAAATAGAGAATTTGCTTATCTTAAATAGTCAATGATAATTGCTTTGGGGGGGGGGGGGGGGTAGGGGGGTAGGTTGAAACAATACTTGAGGTAGTGAGTGTCGATGTAAGAGTTTTGTTCTAAAAAAGAATATTTTATAAGGATAAAATAGTAAAAATCTTGGTCAAACTTAAAGTGCTTATAATTTAAAAATTCATAAGCCGGGAATAACCAGCTTATGGCTTTTGCTTATTTTTGACTTATAAGCACTTTTAACTTTAACAAATGCGTAAATAAGCCGAAAAGTAATTATAAGCCAGTATTCATTTCTTTTTCAAAATTCACTCAAACTAACAGAAGGGGGAAAAAGAAGCAATGAGGATAACATACTGTTTGAATTATCACTTCTGAATTTTCGAAAATTAAATGAGATTAATTTGTACTGATATTTTAAGTGTATCACTTCATCCTTTTACTATAAAAATTAGTAAAACTTGTCATAATTACTGTAAAATTGAAAATTTTCTATATTTCATTTCAAGAGAATGAATTAACGTATCCTCAATTGTAACTCCAAAATCAGTTAAACAAAGGTGACAAAATTTGAAACGGATGGACTAATATTTATCTTGCGGACTCACTCTTGAGAACAATGAAGAACCTTGTTTGCAGTCTGTAGGT